ACGTGCCCCAGCTGGGGACCAAACGCGCAACCCAGGCACGTGCCCCGACCAGGAATCAAACCCAAACTGCTGACCTTCCGCTTTGCGGGACGATGCCCCACCAACGGAGCCACACCGGTCAGGGGGACTTTTCTTCATCATTAGAGAGCTTATTCACAAAAAAATATTTACTGAATTGAATTAAGCCAACCATACAGGCCGTTGGGTAAGCCCTATGGAGAACAGAAACAGAAATACAACTTGATTTCAATCTTCAGAACAGTGAGAATTTAGAGGGAGAGGTGACACTCAGACCAATGTAGCACGGAGTTGAATCTGATGCCGTTAATGGAAAAGGCGAACACAGCGCTGGGGGAGCACATAGGAGGGAAGACTCCTGTCTGGTGGGCGGAGCAGGCGCCACAGGGCGGGGCCTGAAGAGAAGGGAGAGCACCGACCAATCAGGCAGCAGAGCCATTCCTCAGGAGCGGGAGCCGCTGAGGCAAGAACTGGGGAAGCACAGGGCCCGCCGCACGCGGACAGAATGAGCTAGAAAGGGAGATGAGAGGAGGGACGAACGATGAGGATGGACAGAGACGGGGACACGTCCGTGAGCGCTCTGAAGGAAGCGCGGCAGTCCGACCCAAACGGCTCAGACAAAGGTGATGGTCATGAGGAAGCAGGTGCAAGCCAACCGCAACGCATGCCAGTGACACTGCCAGCACGGTGGCAATGTGGGGCGTGAGCAAGGCCTGGGCCAGCGCCTCGCTGGGAGTGAGGCCGGCACGAGGCCACGGAGGGTCAGTGACATTGCTCTGCATGCCCCTTCCCTCTGGAAGGCGTGTGGCATGCACCTCTGCCGTAAATCTTGCCCTGAGTACGATCTGGAGACAGGGCTCCATCGGGGAACAGCTGCAGGACTAATTTTAGGTCTGTGCTGGGGAAGTGGGGCAGGCCTGATCTCCAGGGCAGGGCGGAAACAGTAGCACACACTGGGCATCGCTTCCTACACACGCATCCCGGAACAGCGCCCGCAGCCTGCTGCCCACGGAGGGCGGCCCTCCAGAGGGCTATCCGTGTCTCCTGACGTGGGACCACATCCCCTTCCCAGAGACCCTTCAAACCCACTGGTTCCCGCACCCGGGTGGAGCTCAGGAGAACCCCCTGGGTGCATCTTAGTTACTCCTTGGGGACGGGGTTCAGGGGAGAAGGTGAGCACTGGCCAAAACGTCCCACCTTCACATTCTCCCCCAGCTCTGCTGTCTCATCTGAAGCAAGCGTCCAAGGCTCCAGTAGTATTTGTACTAAGAATGATTAACAGTATTATGCACATCAAAGGTCACAACATTTTACACCTTGTTTCTTAACACCTGCAACCAACCTAGGAGTTAGGACTCGCTATTCCCACTGTGAGGGTGATCTACAAAGACAGCTACAGTACAGGCCTTCTGATTTTAACACCTTTGTTCGTATCTTGCTGCTGGGGGTTGAGGGTAAGGTAGAAAACAAGGCAGCTCTGGGAGAGAATTGAAAAGCAGAGGGAACACACATTTATTTAGCCTTTGAGAGGAAACAGCCATTCGATTGAGTAGAAAGGCTCTTCTATCCTTAAGCAAATTGTTCCAGGACTAGGAGCCCATTTAGACAGCAACAGAAATTTACACAAACTTGAACAGCTTACGATTGTCTTACGTATGGTGGTTTAGAAATAAAATGCTGGAAATAGATTGTGTAAGACATTCGGGTGGTGGTTTAAGAGCTAAGGCTCCTGCATCAGACAGGGTTTAAATTCCAGCGCTTTGATTTAAGTGCTAGCATATTACTTAACTTCTTTCACCTTCAATGTTTTTTTTTTTTTTCCTGTGAAACTGGGGATAGTAACAGCACCTGCCTCCCAGAGGAGAGAATCACATGAGATAAGGCATGCTCAGAGTTCAGCACTGGGCAGGACACATATAAATGCCAGCGCAGTGACGGCTCCGTTGTCATGGGTGGTGACAAACCTCTCTTCCACAGGGGGTTTGTTTTAGTTTGTCACTGGGCTCAGGACGGGGAAGCTGCCCCCACCCGGGGTACTGGCCACCACTGGTCTGTTCTCTGCCACTGCAAACTCACTTTGCCTGATCCAGAACTTCACCCACGGGGAAACGCAGAATATGCATGCTAGTCTATCTCGTTTCCATCCACCCGGAGTAGCGTGTTAGGGATCCATCCATATTGTGGCTTGTGTCAGTGACTTATCCTCTTTATTGCTGATCAGTTTTTACTTCACAGATACACCACAGTTTGTTTATCCGTTCATTTGGTGACCATTGAGGTTGTTTCCAGTTTTTTAAAAAATTAGAAATAAAGCTTCTATGAACATTCTTTAAAAAAAACAAAAAGTGAGGGGCGGGGATCGTGTTGCCCAAATTCTACAGGAAAAAAAGGAAAGAAATGCAGAAATAGGCCTGAGGTCTCTGGAGGTGCCTTTTGTCACTGGAAACATCCCTGGTGTCACTTTCCCACCTCCCCAGGGCACCTGGGTCACATCTGTGGGGGAATGCAACCCCCCTTGCCAGAGAGGAAGAGCAATAACGTGACAAGCTGGACTCTCTGAGACGGGGACTACTGTGCTTTGTCGCTCACTCCCCTGTGTGCTGCCCGAATGGGGAGGACAACGTGGATGAAAGAGGGGCCACGCACGATGCCGACAACCTCAGGGGGGCCCGCGTGGCAGCCCTATGACCTCAGAGACCAAAAGCGACCACGCAGGATGGTCTGAACGTGAAAATCCCTAACAAACCCGAGGTGTAGCGGGCAGTCGAGTCCTCGGCCTGCAGCTTCCCGGGCAAAGGTCAATCTTTACCTCAAGTGAGCCTGTCCATGCATTTTTGCCTCTACGACCGCACACCTTGGAAATGGCAGAGGACCCTCCTTTCCCAACCCTAAGAGCCCAGTCTCCCACCAGAATACGAGACCACCGAGCCCGGCGTGGCTACCTTGCTCCCCACATGCCTCCTCTATGTGCTGTGGATGCTCAGTTAACCACCCTGCACCCACCAACGTAAAGGAAGTAGTACGTGTCTCTGTTTACTTTCTATCCAGCCCCAGAGATTTCCCCGATCTGCTTTCTCCCACCCTTAACCTAACACCAGTGGATTTCATGGAACCCTCCTTCCGTCTCCTTTCATTCTCCTGTAGAAAATAAGTTGCAAATTGCCATTCTCTGGGGCAGGTTCTCAATCCATTGAGATTTTGCTTCCCGGCAACTGCTGTCAGTTTGGCCCAGATAAACTCATGAAAGTGTTCTACAGGCTTGGACGCCTCTCCCGTGGACAACAAAAGGCGAGAGGGCCCCAGAAGGAAGGGGCCTGGTGCCCAGCTCAGCCGGGAGGGCCTCCTGGGGAGCGGCACAGCGCCCAAGCGGGCGGAGAAGAGGTGACCGAACAAGACGCGCACGGGGAGGGGCCCAGCAGACGCCCTGGAGATTTTTCGCAGAAGGTAGGGGAAGCGACCACACATTCCTGAGCTGCCAAACAGATGAACGGAAGCAGCGGCAGGTCAGGAGAGGCCGTGGGAACAGGGTTAAAGGTTCATGGCCTGGCGGCCAAGGGACAGGTGGAGACTGCAGAGGTCAGCAGTGAAGACCCACATACGACGATAAAAACCAGACGCGTATCCAGAGCCGAGTCAGACCTCTCCCCAGGGACAAAGATGGACATTTAAGATGGAAATGACGTACAACTACAGGACAGTCGAGAGTTAGTTCTTTGTTGTTGTTACTGAGTCTGTTACTAGGCCCCCAAGGTGTTGTCCTAAGTAGATGAGGATGGCTTGGTAGAATTTAGTGGAACCCCAATGTGCAAGACATTTGCCCTTGGACGGGAGGTTTCTGAAATGAGGTACGTGGAACGCTGACTCCCAAGAAAAGGCAGCCTCTACCCAAAAATAGTTCCCTGGCCAAATCAGCTTCAGAACAGGGCACACTACGGCTCTGACACACTCAGATGCTCTGAGTGTGCACCGGCTTGACAAGGGCTTTGAGACGTCTCACAGCAAAGAAATCCACCCAACTTTGTCTCACCTAGTACTTCTCAATACATGCGATGAGGATTTTTTTTTTTTTGCTGAGATATAATGTATTTCACTCTAGGAAATGCCGGTGTAGAGAGCTGCAGGTGAGAATGGATGATAATGGCATTACTGTGGTGACCCCAAGAGACAAATATGCGGGTGGAACAGGAGCCTGAGATGGATGCTGGGTTTCGGAGACTATCATAGCTGGGCACGGAAATGCTACTTTGCCAAGCGACCCCATATATCTTGAAAATTGGCTGAATCGTTTCTAATATTCTTTCAAGGTCCTTGCTGAGTCACTCCCAGAAATGATGGCTCTTAATGGTTCCAAATATCTCTAACGCCTTCATGTCTAACCATCTCCCTTTTTAAGTCGGTGATTCACTCCACTCTAGCACGCCAGAGAGAATGGTAGAGTTTCATTTTCCACTCATAAAACACGTCTGAAAACCAGCCCACAGCCGTGATGGACGGCCCTACGGCCCAGAAATTTAACTGGCTGGCCCCTGAGGAATGTCACCTCTCCCTGTCATTTCTGGGCCGTCTTTTAAGGACTACGCTCACTATGGCAGAGGTGCTGTGAGAAAAGAACCAGAGTCTTCGGGCAGAAAGCCTAGGCTTTGAAGTCGGGAAGATCTGGATGCAAGCCCCAGCTCTGCCTTCCGTAGCGTCGTGACTGTGGATGAGGCTCCTCCCACATTTGTGTTTCCTCGTGTGAAAGTGAGGATAACAGTATGCCCACTCAGGGCTGTGGCGAGGATGAGAAGAAACAACACATGGGTGGGGGGAGCGCAACTCGAGATCGATGCAACAAACTCCCTGGACGCCATCTGCAAGGTGGGGAAGTCATCGCCCAAGAGCGCGGGAAGCGCCACGAGCACATACACGAGGCCGCCCCACCACCTCCGCCTCTGCGGCCATCACCCACAAACGGCAGAAGTACTCACTGGAGCGCTCTGTACCTGATTATTCGGGTACGCTTCCTGGTGTAAGGGGCGATGACCTTGAAAAGCAGCTCCATTGCCCCGTTAATCCCCAGCATGGCTCCCGTGGTGACTGGGGAGGACAAAAGCACAGTGGTTACTGAGCTATCTGAACCAGGCACTTTTCTCAGCATGACCGAGTGAACCTAAGAGACAGGGGAGGGGAGGTGCATCACCTTCCTGAACAAAGGCGGCTTGAAAGCAGAGAAACTCTCTGGTCTTTTCATCCCTGGCTAGAAATAAAGCTCACCTACATAGCCCGCATTATCTTCTCACACTACCCTCTTCCCAGAGGGGGTCCAAGCCATCACATTACACTTCTCATTCTCTGATGGTCCCTGGCACTTCCCCACTGAATCAGCGTAGTCAAGGCAATTGCTGAACAGAAGATTCTTCTGTAAGTAGACCTTTGTGTTTCTGGCAATGACTTCAGTTCAAGTTGTTTCACCACCCACCAACTTCCCAGAAGATACATGCATGCACGCACGCACAGGTATGCATGCACACATGCACACGCCCACACAGGTGTGCAGACATATCTGCATGTGTGCACACATACATGCACACAGGCACAGTCAAAGGTCATCCCAGTGGCTTGGACACAAACTCTTTGGATGTCACTTTCACCCCCAATGATTCCCTTGAGTCCCTGCAACATCCCCAGTACCCCATGCCACATAGCTCACTTTAGGAGGGCTCTGGTCATGTCAACAAAATAAAAATTTTTTAAAAAGGAATCTACAGGATACAGAATTGCATTGGTTTGGCAGGAGGCAAAAGTTTCAGTGCGACAAAGGAAGAAGGCTCTCTTCTAAGGTATGACTGGGTTTTCTCTTTCCTCCACCGCTCTGGTCTGGTAACACAGACCCAGCCTGGTTCCACGGAACACAAGCAGGAACAAGGGGTCATGGAGAGGCAGAGAGAACAAGGGAGGCTTGTACTGGCTTGCTCCGAGCCTCGGGAAAGGAGGATACGTGGAAATTTGAAGGCTCTGACCGAAGTCACCTCAGAGAGAGCCTGAGGAGGCTGTCTCAGCTCCACAAGGAACGTGTGTTCTGGCGCGTCCTCCGTGCACACATCCCTCCCGAGGCTGGTGCAGGCGGCGACTGCCTGGATCAGAACCCAGGGACTGGACATCTCCATCCTGCCTGCCTGCCTGCCTTCTAGTCTCATGGCCACCGTTTCCAAATCGGGAACACGCGCTAGAGCAACTTCCTGGCAAAGAATTCAGCAACATGCTAGTATCAAGCAGAGTGAAGGAGGAGAAGAGTGCTAAGAGCAGAACTTCTAACACAGAAGATGTTAGACTTGGAACAGGGGGAGGATAACAATAAGAAATCTTCACTGAGCCCTCCCTGCTGGACGCCTGCCCAAGGTTAGACCTCTGACAGCTCTATAAATATCCCCGTTGGCCATCTGAGAGCTGCCAAGGGCTTCACTGGCTGTCACAGACCCGTTCTGCTTCCAGCCAATTCCTTCCGCAGATAGGAGCTGTTTAGAAAGCTTGCTGGAACATTCAACAGTGGCTAACAATTCACCAAAGAGACAGCCATCGTAGGCTTTATGAACTCTGCTTGCCTCTCATCAGTACAGTCAATGCATAGGGCCTGTAGTGTAATTTTTAAAATATCTGATGAAGCAGTTCGTGGGTACAGTACATGCAGTCTTAGAATATGAGACAAGTGGCCACCTCCTCACACCCACAGGCAAATCGCAGCATCTGTCCGAGCTCCCCGCTGAAGGCATTCTTCTGGATCTCTACAACCAGTACGCATAATGAGGAAGACACGTCATTCAGCCTAATTGTTCCTTAGGAAAACAAAATGAGGTGCTCGAAATCGTTGCTGGCAAGCTCCAAGTGGGGGAGGCACCCCTTCTGGCTACTCATGAACGAGAGCTGTCCTTCAGTCTAAGCCACAGCTCCTCCCTTCCAGTTTCCCTCATTAGAGACTGGTCTGGACAGAGCCGTCCAGCCCTTCCCAAACGTGCTGATTTTCTGCATGTGTGAGTGCAACACATAACACGTGAAACGTATGAGTCAAAGCAGTTCTGTCGGTGAACATGGGGTCAGGAATCTATCTCATCAGTCCCTACAAATATGTTCTCATCATGGGTTCTCCAAGCTTATTAAGAGAATTAACAGATGAACTAGGTACCTACTATTTTAGCAGTTCTGCACAGTCAGGGAGAAAAGGCGCCCACTGCACTCCCTGTGGGTGTGTTTCTCCTACCGTTTCAAAGGACCAGGGAAAGAATAGGGCAGGAAAGGGAAACTAATACTTCCGGGGCAACCACCATGTGACAAGCGCACCTGTGAACATTCTCTCACTCTCCCCACCTACCACGTCTGTGAGCTCGTGTGACTACCATGCTTTTTCAGGGGAAGGACACGTTCAGGTTGAGCACGTTCAGGTTGAGCACGTTAAGTGCCCCTGTCGTACCACTCTTAGGCAATGAAATCAGAGTCAGACAGAGGTCTTGCTGGATCTAAGCCCACAGTCCTTCCTCTAGAGCGCATTACATCTAAGTAATTGTCCCTTTCTGTCTGCAGGAAAGGGGCTTAGAAAGGTGAAATAAAAGTCTGCTCGTTATATGTGAGGTAGGAGGTACAGTATCTAATCTATTAATAAGAACTGTCTCCACATGGAGAGTAGAATAAACATGAGTTTGGAGTCAGAAACTCAGCCGCTATGACTCATCTGTATAAACTCAAGCAATCGCTTCACTCTCCTCGGCTTCATTGTTTTTCTTGGCCGTAGAGTGGTACGTCTAAATATAGGATTGTTATGGCGATCAGAAATAATCCACATCGGCGGACGGCACAGGAGGATGTTTCATGGGCGGTGATGTATCTAGTTACCTTAAGCACTATGTTGAGACGCACCGGGAGACGAAATGTGGCAAAGGATATTGTGATCCCTGAATAGCTTCAGGGACGTGGTGGGGAGCCGTGTGACGGGAGGGTCATTCTTGACAGGTGCGGCGCATCGCCCTGTGCCTTGCCTACGATAAGGGCTGAATAAAGCCTGCCCTCTCCTGCCATGGGTCCTTTTCACCTTGTAGTACTAACAGAGAGACCGAGGGCGCTTATGCGTGGTTCACAAGGGAAAACATCCTGACATCTAACTTTAGGAGCAGGCCCAAGAGCTCTACCTAGCTGTACAGGAGATGAATTAAAAAACTTCTCGCCGCCAGAACATGAGGTTCCACATGGTTCATCTTTTTGGGACCACGTATGTTCTCTATCCACACCCTCCTTCCAACCGCACCCCCAAGTGGCTTCCAGGTGTCCCAGCCCAGGTTCGGAAGCCCCCGCCCCACCCAGGAGGCCACAGCTGAGCCGCTTACCACTAGAGGCAAACACACGCAGAGCCCAGAGACAGTGCAGGAGGTTCTGGCTGCGGGACAGGTTTTTCCTGGCCAGAATCAATGTCACGTCCAGTGCTTCCAACTCCAGTGCCTTCTGCCCAAACTTTCTATCTGTGAACACAGATCAGTTCATCTTAGTTGTCTTGCACATTAATTCTGAAGACTGTATGATGTGTGGGGGACAGAAAAGCAAAGGCGATGGCGGGAAGAAGGTAATCATAGCTGATGAGACGTCTCAGATCTAGTAAAATGCTATTAAGTATGTTCCCACTGAAAGCAGGTAGCTCGGGAAAGCTAGTTCAGGGTACACATACGATCCGTTATTAACATTTACATGAAGTTTTGTGTGTTGTCTGACTCGCAACCCTTTTGTGAAGGATGTTTCTGGCTGTCCTCAGACACGAATGAGTTTAGTAGGGTATAAACTCCTTCCTTTAAGATATTTCTAGAGTTAAGGATATGTAAGTTACATGACATTTAAATACAGTGCGTGGACAAAGATTGGATTCTTCTTTGAACATGTCTGTAAAAGACAATGTTGGGAACATTTGGAGAAACTGAAATGAGTCTGAATTATTCATTCATTGCTAATTTTGTTAGATTTGAAATCGTGGTGTTGTGAATACATAGGAAAATGTCTTTTTTCAAAGAAATGCACTTGCAAAGTATTTAAGAGCAAAATGCTATCTATAATTTTCCCTAAAATATTTCAAATAAAAATAAAGAAAATATAACAAACGTTATATATAACAAAACATTAACAGTGATTAGATCTAAGTAATAGGTAGATGAGGTCATCTTTCTATATGATAGAGAATTTTACAATAAAAAGTGAGAACACAATTCTAAGAAAATAACATATACTCCCCAAACTTCTCTAAATTATCGATCCACATAACCTGATATTTAGTGTTGTGGGCCAGGCATCATTATTTCAGTAATTAGTGAATAAGAATAGAAATAAGGGGAAAGTCCCTTTCATTCTACGATATGTTCCTGGCCCTCACATTTGTTGATACCCTTTCCAAACTGCAAGGCGCGAAGAGTCGTATCCGTTTTTGCAAGAATACAATCACTATCAGATTCATCCCAAGTGACAATGTGTGAAACTGAGGAAATACCCTAAACCTGGTTTACCAACATCTGGCTCTGGACCACAGGACAACAGCAAAGAGACCCAGGCCAAACTCATCGGACCCATCCCCCCACCCCCCACCCCCCCCACCCCCCCCACCCCCCGCACACCAGGAAGAGAGACCTCTCTGCCCCCGGCCCCGTGAGCACACAGCCTCCTGTAGGCTCAGGCCTTGTCGGTCAGGCCCCGGCAACTTGATCATCAGTGTCGAGGGCTACACTTCCTTGGCGACGGAAGCTGTGTTGAGGGGATTATGAGAATAGTGGCATCCAGGTCTATCTCCTGAAAACGTCGGCCCTGCTGGTCTCTCCTCCCTTCCCCTGTGAGACCTACGGGACTCATTTGCCAGGCCCCTTCACCCACGTGCTCAACACGAGACAGACAGAATCTCTCGGCCCTAACAGCAACCCCAGAATTAAGCACAGATGCCTCCGCTTTGTAGACGAGGACCCCATGGCTCAGAGAGTTTAACTTGTCCAAGGTCACACAGCTACTAAGCGTCAGGGCCAGATACGAACCCCAGATCTGACATCCTAGCTGATATTATTTATGATGAGGGTACGTAACATATCTTTGCGGTGTTTTCCAAGAGTTCACTTGGCCCACTCTTTGCTTTGCTGACTTCTCATCCCGTAGGTTTGTCCTCCAATGTCACCTCTCCCCAGCCGCACCCCGCAGGGCCACAGCACCCCTTTCCCTTACAGCCATCAGCTGGTTAATTCTTGTTTACTTTCTACCCTCCCCCAGTTGAACATAAGCTCCGTGAGAGAGGGTCCCCTATCTGTCTTGGCCACTGTGGGATTCCTGCCATCACCCTTAGGTGTCTAGGACCTTCCTGCTGCTTCCTCCCTGCACTTTTCCACAAGAGCTTCCCAAACTGTCATAGGAACAAACGCAGAAGTGCCGTCCCGCCACCTTCAGGTCTGGGGGTGTGGGTACCTCGCAGGCCGACTTTGGCCAGCAGTCGGAAGAGGGGCAGGAGGATGTCATAGTCGGGAGACGCAGTCCTTGCTGTGTTCACCAGGGTCTGCAGAAGGGCTTCGCTGCCCCCCTTGCTGATCATGTAGCAGATCCTCCTGTCTGTGCCTACGGGGAAAGAGGGGAGAGCTGAGCCGTCCAAAACCACTCTCATTTCCCTGGAGCTAGAAGCAGAGCAAGGATTGATTCGTTTCACCCCAAACACCAAAGCTGTGTACTTCTTGAATTGACTTGTGTTAGAGTCGTGCTATTAGGTCAGGGGCCAGGGTGGGGGAGGATGAGATGTAGAAACAATAGAATACTTAAGTACTAGGTGTATTGACCTGTAGCACCTGTCAAAAAGGAAACCTGGAATCCACTTTCCTAAGAATCTATGGAGTCGTCAATGTACTGATGCATCTGTGTCTGTGTGTACATAAACATGCACATGGGCTTATGTATAATCACGCACTTTAATAGAAAAGGAAATACAGTATCCCCCTGCTGTAGGTTTGAATTATCTGGAACAGGGATTGGGATGACAGCTTATCTAGAACAGTATTATTGTTGGTGTAACAGTTCAGTAACTGATGGCAGGAAAAGATGGAAACAACTAGGGTAATCCTTTGAGAGACAAATGTCCAATTATCTCATCTAAGTCTGGGGCTCGGATAAAGTATATTGATCTTTGTACCTAAGAAGAGTTTTGAACAGGGACTCCCCCTCCCAACACACACACACACACACATTGTCCCAGGAGATGCTTGAAAGCAGTGATTACATTTCAAGTTGCAAGAGGTCCTAGGTGATTCTCTATGCACTGGGCCTGGTCACCCCAACCGAGGTGGCCCACAGGGTGGGACATTACCTGCAAAGAAGACCGTCTGGTTTTTCACCCTAATGAACAGCAGCCCCTCTAGTAATGGAACAATACTCAGTGCCTGGATCTGAAGGAGAACTGCAAGGTTTCATTCTAAGAGTTCCAGATCCCACCAGACCAATTAAAGGCAGCACTATTCCGAGACAGGAGGGCACCTCGCTCAGAAGGCTGCAGGGAAGTCACCCCGCCATTGGGGGGCAGCACACACTATGGGAACATCTCCCTATGAATGGATCCTTCCTCCTGGAGCTGCAGCCTGAGGCTCTGAGGCTTTGGAGTGTCGTTCATTTGGGGATGGATGTTTGGTGTTGATATTTCTTCCTAACGCAATGCGGCTGGCACACAGGGAATGGAAACTGAGTGACTGTTGGAACATCCGAAAAGCTGTGTTTACCAGGACTCTCACGTGGACATGAGCTCACGCAGGCCTGCCCCAGTTAACTCGGGTGATTCCAACGTAGCCAACTCTGTCATCTTATCTCTGAAAACCTGATGGCTTACCAACTGCTAGGTCCAGCTCCTGCCTCATGTTTCTGTCTCCAGTGACACATGGTAGGAGCTGCCAATACCCAGGTCTAAAACAGGCCACAGCGAGGGAAGCAGCGGGAAGAGAGAGGTCAAACTGCTGAGGGCTGAGAAGAGCTGCAGAAGCCTGGAGGTCCTCAGCCTCAGGGAGGAGATGCCATAGAACAACCACCCGGAGTCTAATTTCCTCCTACGTTTGGGTCACCGTAGGGTGCGCGACAAGACTGAAGAGCTCGAAGTACAACCAGCCCCATTTACACCAGCACTCATCAACCTCCGTGAAAAAGAAAGATGGGTGGGTGATTCTGTCTCACAGAAAAACTTGAGCAAAACCCCAGGCCACCCAGATTCCTGGGCTTCACCACAGCCCCACGCCCCCACGCCCCCACACCCACCACAGGAGGGACGACGGCATGGCCTACTCACCCACAGACAGCAGGTCTCCGAGCACCTGGAGGATGGTCAGGATGGATGCCCTGTCAGAGGAGCTCTGCAAGGAGAACACACGCAGCTTTCATTCAAAATGCAGAAGGAGGGAGGAGGCATAGTCGGGGGTGCACGTTGAAATGACAGGACTGTGCGCTCCCTTCCATTGAGAAAGACTTCCTGTGACAACAAATGCCCGAAGGGAGGCCCTGGCTGGGTAGCTCCAACCCAGCTGGTTGGAGCACCACCCCAAGGTGCCAAGGTGGCAGGTTCGATCTCCACTCAGGGCTGTGCATACCAGCAACAACCAATGAATGCACAACCGAGTGAAACAAGACAGATGGTTCTCTCTCTAAAATAAATAAATAAATTTTAAAAAAATATCTGGAAGGGCACTCCCTAAACAATGTCCATGGGGGAGCTTACTGAGATGAGGGTCCCAGGCACTCTGCCTCCTTATTTCACCTTCAGTACCCCGCCCCGAGGACCCCTTCTGTAGCAGTAAGATGGGCAAAAGAATAAGCGTTGATGGTTTATGTGGAAACAGCAAAGGAAAGGGGGCTTTTTGGTTGAAAGCAGCACAGTTCTATTATTTCAGTAGGTTCGGGGGTGTCCAACTTTTTGGCATGTCTGGGCCACACTGGAAGAAGAGTTATCGTGGGTCACACATTAAATACACTGCAACACGTAATCACAAAAAACTCTCATAATATTTTAAATAAATGTATGATTTTGTTTTGGGCTGCATTCATAGCCATCTTGGGCCACATGCAGCCCATAGGCTACGGGCTGGACAACTCCGGTTTAGATTCTTTTTAAGTGCAGGGCAGAGAGAAGAAACAGAAATCCAATAAAGTGTTCTGATGGAAAAAACGTCCCCAACTGATAAGGAAGAATTTTTATTTTGTCAAGAGTAACCTAGGGGAAGTACCAAATCTCATTATGTAGATATTCTATGGGATTCCTGCAAAATAGAAGTGCTATCACACAATATTCATCTTTCTCTGTCTGACTTATCTCACTTAGCATAATGCCCTCCAGTCCCATTCACACAGTCACAAATGGCACGATTTCCTTCTTTCTCGTGGCTCAATAATATTCCAGAGTGTGTGCGTGCGCACATGTGTGTTCTTTACCCACTCATGAAGGGCTCGGTCCTCCACGACTGCAACCCCTGCCCCCGAACTGCAGACTCCAGTCACAACTCCAGGTGGTTAACTGGACTTCCCACCAGCTGGCTGCCAATGGAAGGCTCTCACAGCATACCCATCGGGTTCCATGACTTCGCTTGAGCAGCTCGCAGAACCCAGAGAAACATGTTCCTTACTACATGAGCAGTTTCTAATGAAAAGATATAACTCAGGAACAGGCAGATGGAAGAGATGCACAGGGCAGGGCCGGTGTGAAGCCCTCCCCAGCACAGCACCGTCCCCACAGCTCCCGCTGTTCACCCACCCAGAAGCTCTCTGAACCCTGACCTTTGGGGTTTCTGAGGAGGTTTCCTTATAGTAGTCCCCCTTATCCACGGGGATACGTTTCAAGACCCCCAGTGGATGCCTAAAGTTGTGCATAGTGCCAAACCATATATATACTATTTTTCTTTACATACATACTTATGGTAAAGTTCAATTTATAAATTAGGCACAATAAGAAATTAACAATAATAATAAAACAGTATGACACTGTATAGTAAGTTATGCTAATGTACTCTCTTTCAAAATATCTTATTCCACCTATAGAACACTACTAGTTCTTAACACAGATCTTAGCAACCTCAGCGTGCGATTTTTTCTGTCGCCATTAAATTGAGCACTTTTACCTTTTACGTAAAGGAAGCACTTTCCAGCTTGCCTTCCACAGACTGGTACGGCCACCGTCACCACCTTTGTACTTGGAGGCCATTATCAAGTAAAAACAAGCATTACTTGCACCCAAGTCCTGAGTTACGGACACAGCAGTCGCCCGATGAGCAAGCGGGCTACCACGTGACGCACGGCCAGGAAGTGTCTACAGCGTAGACAGGCGTACAGCGTGCAGACGCTGGACAACACGGGCTGTCACACGCCAGGCGACGTAGTGGGTATCGCGAGATCTCACGCTTCTCAAAACGGCGCGCAGTTTCAAACGATTTTTTTTTTTTTTTACTTCTGGAGTTTCACATTGAATATTTTCAAACCGGGGTTGACTGTGGGTAACTGAAATCGCGGGAAGCAAACCAGAGAATAAAGGGGTACAATTGGACCTAGTGGGAGGGTTCAAGCTGGGGGGCGGGGCGGGGAAGGGTGGGTGCCTGAAAGTGCCCGCCCTCGAACCATTCAGGTCCCCGGTTATCCTGGAAACCAGCCCCCATCCGTCCCCAGAGGGTGTCCCAAAGTCCCCTCACTAATATAACAAAAGACACGTTTATAGCTCTCATCACTTAGGAAAGAGCAAAGGTGTAGGAGCTCCGGGCCATAAACTGGAATGAACAAAATACGTATTTCTTAGTATGAACCATAACATCATGGCAGGACTCTGGCTCTTTGAAAGTGGACCCAAAGACTGCTCACGGTAGGACACGAAGTCCCTGCAATGGTGTCTACTATTAACACTGACGTTTCTAGGTCCGCCTCCTGCACCCCCAATAATTGCTCTTCTTTCTGAGAAGAGGGGAGGAGGTAAAAGGTAAAAGCAAGTCTGTGCAAAGTTGTGTAACTTGTAAAAAAAACAGATTCATTAGTCAATGAATATAATGTATCAGTTAACCAGGAATTGTGAGCAAAGAAAAGGAAAAGAAGAAAGGAAATGGAAAGATGAGATAAAAAAGGAAAAAACAAAAAGAGAAAAACTATTAAGGTAGAAACTGATTAAAGAGGAGAAAAGGATCCAGCTTTAATTTCCTTTCATTTAATTATTCATGCGTTCATCCCACACACGTGCGTTGGAAACCATTTATGTTCCAGTCACCAGGTTAGGCAGCAAAGATACAAACTGATTGAAACCCAACCTGCCTTCGTAGGTGAGGATCTGGTGGATGATGAGGACCCTGGAGGGTAAAGGGCTGGGACGAAGGTAAGCATCAATGCTGGGAGAATGCTGGAGGGAGCATTTAACCCAGGCAGGTCCACGAGCGAAGAATCTGAGGAACCAGGCAGAGACAAGTGTGGGGGGAGTGTTCTGCTAGGCCGTGGCCCGTGTGCAAAGCATGATAGAGCCTGCTGACCCTGGGGGTCAGACTGCTCCCAATGTGACCAGATGCAATAAAGCAGTCAGTTGGTGAGGGGAATTGCGACTTTCTGCAGGCAAAAACCAGGTCTTATCCATCTCTGTAGTCTCATCTCCTAGGGTGTAATAGATAATCCATATATTTTATTATATTAACTTCTCAAGTCAAGGAGCTGCCTGCTTTATTACCATGTCCACTAAAACTCCCTGAGAACAAGCATTGTCTCATGTGCTTCTTTTGCACTTGCCCGAAGGGATGGAGAGCTGGGCAAAGGGAATACACTGAATCACCACCCCTTGGGAAGAAGGCTGTGCACCCATGAACATTCCCGTGTAACTGCTTTCAGGTCTGGGGCAGGAGTGGCTGATGGAGTGTTCTGTCCCCCGCCCCGGGAAGCACCCCCAGTTCATCTCCTCTAAGCCTTTCTGCTGTTCATGTGATTGGTTTTGAGGAGCTCCAGATCTGCGTAAGAAAATCTGAGTAGAAAAGTCTGGTGAGAGATTCAAGAAAAGATTTTTCGCTGGGAATTAAGGAAAAACATTGAAAACAAAGCAAAACAAACAAACAAACTCTCTTTAAATGTGCTAAGTGAAATAAGTCAGATGGAAAAAGTCAACAACCATATGACTTCACACATATGTGGCATATAAAACTGAAAGCAACAAATGAACACGCAAGACGAACAAACAAACAAAAGCTCATAGGCACAGACAAGAGTATGGTGGTTACCAGAGGGAAGGAGGGTCGGAGGGAAGTAGAAGAGGGTTAAGGGGGTCAAATATATGGTGAAAGAAGAGGTTTGACTTTGGGGGAGACAGACACAATGCAATATACAGGTGATGTGTTATAGAACTGTACACTTGAAACCTGCATAATTTATTCACCAATGTCAGACTGATAAATTTAATAAAATTTAAAAACAATTCTTCTCTGTCTTCGGACATTGCCATCTTCAGGACATAATCCTGGGCCACCGGTGACATTCTGAAGCCACTGAACCAACTCTGTGGAACCACCTACCTGTGGACTTTCAGGCAAATAAAATAATATATATGCTCACTTATAAAGCTGTTTCTATTTGGATAGTGTGTTATAGAATTTTGGTGTGATGGGCCACCTCCATGTGCCTTCTCTCCTTAAGCACTATGTTCCTATTAAACAGGGGGAAAAAATGACTTCACAAACAAGCTCTAGGACGAGCCCACCAGGAGAATCCTGCCGTCCCACAGAAACTAAGAGACAATATCGTCACGCAGATGTTGAGTTCATGATGCTCTCATGTCTGAGCCAGAATGGATCAGCACAATATTGCTTTTCTCTAAGTAAAAATTATGGCCATCAGTGGAGGGGAAAAAGCTCCACAAAACCTCGACTGGCATTAATTTCTGCACTGCTGTATTTACCAATAAATATTTTACACTATTTCAAAGAGTAACACAAAGTGTTATCTCACCCACTGTAATAATAAATGAGCAATTAAAGAAGGCAGGATACGATGGGCCTCAATTTTCTGTTAACGATTCTTTTAAACGAATCATTGAGTAATCCCCTGTTGTTTAAGACTTTCCTATAAAAAATATGGATCTGCCAAGTTTTCAGGGAGAGGCAGCCAGTCGGAAGAACAAACAGTGTCTTTCACAGTCTGTGGGGTTTTGAACTGCAATTTTCTCCAATACTGTTTCGAATTGGTTGCTCCCCTGGCTTGAGATTTTCTGTCTCTCCGTTGCCTTCCTCCTCCTGACTCATCAGGATGGTATGTCAACAAGACTCTGCACATCACTCAGCCTTTGGAGTCTCATCTCCAGCCACGCCCCCCCACCCCAGTACTGCACATGGCGACCACACAGGACCAGTGACGG